TGACCACAAAGTTTGCGTTTCTTAAAAGAACTTCGATTCGATTTATTTCCCATATTGACAATCAAATAATGTCTAACTGAGAGAACAACACACGTCCACGCGGTGTAGCGACAAGAAAGAGAACGACAGGCACAGAACGTCATGTGATCATCTGAGCCATTGGCACGCTTATTGAGATGATTGACAGGTCTGCTATTGGAGTGGGGGCAGAGGTCAGGAAGTTTTGAGTCAACTAAGCCTACAGCACGTTTCCACACATGGTCGTAGTAGAAGAGAGGTGTCATACCGTGAGATAGGATAAGTTTAAACATTATATATATATATATATATATTATTGACTGTGATCGGAAGTAGGGGCTAGAAACATTTTTATCGTTGTTGGGGTGATCAATATTTGTCATCAATATGACTGACTGAGTTTGGTTTTACGCCGCTTTTAGCAATATTCCAGCAACATCACGGCGGGGACACCAGATGGGCTTCACAATATGCCCATGTTGGCGTGAACCAACACTTCAACCATGTCACGCCCGTCATCAATAGCGCTGGATATAGATCAATATGTACACATGAACCTCATGTCAGGTCTTGGCACGCATTGAGAACAAACGTCGCTAATTGGCACTCCAAGCATGTTTGATTCACATAATTTTGTTTGCGGATCAAATTTATATGTTAATCTAATTGTTAACTATTGCAGTAACTACACAAACATATTGTCCTAGTCGCATACACGCCAATAATCATATGGTGAAGATCAACTAGGGCAGGTCGCGGAGCAGTTTCCTTTCACTCGTTTGTCTGCAGTCAGGGGGGGTCAGGGTTTCACAATGGATTTAGACAATTCCCAGAATTGATCAATTTGAATATCAGCGGAAATCCGCGGATCAGAGGAACATTGCCAACCCCGGGTGATGCGACGTTTCGATACAGATTTTCGTATCGTTGTAGATACCTGCTCGACACCGATGCAAGAATCTGTATCTAAACGTTGTTCACCCGTAACGCTTGTCCTTATCTCTCCAACTTTTACAAATGCCACTGAAAGAAGTACAGCAAAAGGTTTTTAAAACAACACATGTTCTGGTTGACTGCAGCCGTATACCCAAAGGAAATATACTTGATGTTGAGCACAGCTGCCCTTTCACTTCCGGCGCGCGCGCACGCACGCACACTGTATATTGTATGTATACAGACAATAACAGAATACATTCACGATGTCAAATAGGAGCTTCCTCGAAGGCCACACTATTTCTAGTGAATAAAAATCAACTGGGACAGCTCAATCTCTCTTTGTGTCAGCGTGTGTGCTTTTTCAGATTATGGACACTGACAGCAGTCACTGTGAGTCAGTAGATTCGTCTGTTGGAAATATGTCGCCCTGCTATCAAACCAATAGTATGAAACGGAACTGTCGTCTATCTTAACCCTCCTCCCCCAGACGTAATGTTCCTTGTGTACGATGTCTCAAACCTACACCCCCACCCTGGTAGCTCAAGGGGGATGAGCCTGTAGAGGCCCCAGTGACTGTTCGCCGACCTTGTTGTTGATTCGCCGTGATTTCGTTGATTTATACATTATTTATTATATATAACATTTATGAAGTTTAATATTTAGGAAAAATGGTCGTCTTGTGGTGGCAATGACGCTGTTGAAATATTGATGTCCGACAGGTCGGGAACCCTTCCTTCATCCTCAGCATCCATGTCTTCTTCTAGGGTAGGGGGTTGTTCGACAGCTGGTAAGGTGGTGTCCGATTCCAAACTTACATGAAAGTTCACTGTGTCCATCATGTTGTCAAATGTATTTCCGCGACAGCGAACATATACGAAAGGAAAATCCTCTTCATTTCGACAAATCTCACGGTACCGTGATACAGACAGGCCGGTACCACAAACACGATGAGTCCATAAATCACACTCGTCACAAGATACGGCATGTTGATTTTTTCCTGACAGTCTTATCGCATACAACACAGTGGTGAGGCATTGTGATGAATTTTGTAGCCGTTTCGCCATGTCGAGGTTCCGTTATATCCAAATGGTGCCGTTTTCGCCTGGTGCCGTTTTGCTGTGGTTCCGTTTTAGCCTGCACCCCCTCTGCTCCTGCGTTTCACAAAATGGCAATCTGACACCTGCACTACACCCGGGCTTCCAAGCGGAGACATCTTTCATAGAAGGGATAAACCAATCTCACTCATACTAGCAGCTCTTGAAATATCAGACTCCTATGAAGAGTAAAATATGCTTTATACTTAAATATGACTTGTTTCCAATTACAAGGCTTCATCAAAACAATCATAAACAGCATGAATGAGGGTCAGGAGAAACACATGACAACTTTCCACAGCTGCCGTTATTGGCCGAGCTTTTACTTGCTTTGTGGTTATGGGTTGTTTCCACAGGGTAATTATCGGTCATTACTTTAAAGACAGAGTTATGGGTTCTAACTTGTGTATTATTACAGACTCTACAAGCTGTATCAAGTGTTAAGCCCTTTTCTGGTGTCACCGACCTTAATATTGCTTGAATACTGCTAAAGAGAGAAATAAAATCCATACTGACATCCAGGTGATGGTAATCAACTTGGGATCTGACATGCCCCTGACCAAATGACAATGTACACCCTTGTAATAGTGACATATGGAGTGAGTGAGTAACTTTAGGTTTACGCATCACCCAGCAATATTCCAGCTATATGGCGGTGGTCTGTAAATCATCGAGTCTGGACCAGACAATCCAGTGATCAATAGCATGAGCATGGATCTGCGCAATTGGGAACCGATGACATGTGTCAACCAAGTTAGCGAGCCTGACCACCCGATCCCGTTAGTCGCCTTTTGTGGCAAGCAGGACAAATTGGAACATCTTTTTCCAAAATACATCTTTGCAAAACGGTAATACTATATATCTTTTTTCATCCCTAGAATCATGTAACCATCCTTTAATTAAAACTCCAATTTAGATATATTGACTAACATTCATTCCCGACGTTGCCCTGTATAGGGCTCCAAGTCCCGGCAGCATTGTGGGCTCCACACTGTCCTGCTTGTTGTTTACAACAGCTAGCAGCAACATTTCAGCAATATTAGGGCAGATTGTACATAATCCTGTCTGGACCAAGCAATCCGATGATCATGAACAGTTGTACATGTTGTCAGTATATTACTGACAAGCCATAGAGCCCCCTCTTCTCTCACCAGGGCAGGTGACACAGGACCCGACTAGGAGTCCCCATGGCGCCAGTTACCATGACACTCCTACCCACATGATGCCAGTGGATTGATCAAAAAACAGTTGTGAAACACTTTTATTATACAAAATAATCTCTGACTCTGTCAAACACATATACTCTGATACAAACATAACAATATATATAGCATTTGTTGCATTAGCTTTGGAAAAAGTTTCCCAACACATTTTATTTGCATACAAATCAAAGACTAGGCCAAGATATCATTGTTTAACACAGCATTTCCAGCTGTGTGACAGTGTCTCTAAAAACTCAGGTCAGGAACAGAAAAAACAGGGATGAACATCAATCAGCAGGGATACAAGCATCAACCAAGTTGCAAAGCCTGACCATCCAATCTCATTAGGCAAAGAAGCAACATTAGTTCTCAAAGAATCCGACCTGACACCTTTTGGAAAATCCAGTGCATTGGACATAAGTTTCCTTTGGGTAATGAAAAACTAAATTTATGGCAGCTATAAATGAAAGCTGGAGATTCCATTTCAGCATCTTTAGCTGATGATAGAGAACTTATGTTCAAGTGTGGGAGTAATGATCAACTAAGCTCTCATTTAGAGGAACAGGCCCTGGTGATTTAATTGCCTACCTCATAACTCTCTTATAGTGGAAACACTGTTTATCAGGGCATTATCAGGTCATTGTCCTGTTCAACCTGCCTTTTGTCCTGATTGCTATCACATTAAAAAACATCGCAAAGGAAATTTTGTGTGTATCATTGCTGCAAGGAAAGGTGTAAAACTGTAAATGCTAATCACACCAACCCTTGGCTGTAGGTAATGTCCCTCAAAGTCCACCAAACAACCAGGTAAGGGAAATACCCAAAGCAACACAGGTGGAGGAGCTCAATTATCTACTGCCCATTTACACTATTAAACAGGCTTTTATCTACCTAAGTTCTAAAATATCAACACTTATATCATCTTGTCAGATTAAAGCTCTATATTCAGTCAAAAGTATAGTCTTTTTTGTTTAAATGTATTTTCTGAGACAACTTCATAGCTTAGCCTAACATCTATTCAAATCCTTCAGGCAAGAGTTGGGATAATAGAAAACTGATGTTGAATGTTAATTTTCTAATTCACTTGTAATACCTGCCTTTTGTCCTGATTGCTATCACATTAAAAAACATCGCAAGCGAAATTTTGTGTGTATCATTGCTGCATGGAAAGGTGTAAAACTGTAAATGCTAATCACACCAACCCTTTGCTGTAGGTAATGTCCCTCAAAGTCCACCAAACAAACAGGTAAGGGAAATACCCAAAGCAACACCGGTGGAGGAGCTCAATTATCTACTGCCCAGTTACACTATTAAACAGGCTTTTATCTACCTAAGTTCTAAAATATCAACACTTATATCATCTTGTCAGATTAAAGCTCTATATTCAGTCAAAAGTATAGTCTTTTTTGTTTAAATGTATTTTCTGAGACAACTTCATAGCTTAGCCTAACATCTATTCAAATCCAACGTCCGTTTCAAAACATTGTTCCATGTGGGAGTACAAAAGTGAACAGACATTTAGCATGGTAATAATAAACGACAAACTCAGACAGCACCTGACAGGATCTCATGAATAATGGCAACCTCTCACACCACAAGCTTCTCAGGCTGGTATCTTCTTCTCACATCGCATGAGCAGTTTCACCATGCTCGACAGACCCCTTGTGACTTGTGTTATCCCATGGTGAGGTGTTGATCATTTCAAGCATGGTTCATGGTGTGTAGGTAGTCACACATTCAACATACTGACTTGGGTTCAAAACATTTATTCATTCTCACTTCAAAATATTCATTCATCCTTTCATCTGAAGCAATCATAATTTTTCCACATAAACCAAAATGCTTGACTTGAGACAATATGCAAGAAGCCATTTTCAGGGAATACATTCCTGTTAAATCGGATTTCTTTCAAGTGACACTCAATTAACTAAATTCCAAGGAAATGTTTGGTAAGGAGTAATGTCTGTTTGTAAACATCAAGCCAGTCCCGGAAGGAATGTTGGGTTTCCTGTATGTGATTATTCTTCTGTTCAATGCTGAGAAACTATGGTAACAATACGAAGGCACTCAGAAATGACAAGCAGATGAGTCAAGAAGCAGAAAGTCCCCCATATCTGTCTGTCAACACGTTTTAAACCTGACACCTATAATTCCAGGTTACTTTACACTTTAACCATACATAGAAACTCAGCACGAATCTTTCATAACCATTCTATAAATACATTCTCAAGCACATTTAAACATGTGCTGACATTTCATCAAAGTTGAAACCAAGCAGAACAACAAACCCACATCCAGCCACATACTGAGACTCAGTCCATTCATTGCTGACATTATATCAGGCCTCTGACTTCCAATGGCAACAGACATCCAGTCACACAACACACTTGTATACTCTCTCAGTAATGGCTGCCATCAAACAATGTCAAGCTCTGGAAGGCTCTCATCCCCTGAAGAAATCTCAATGTCCTCACATTCCTTCTGCCCAATGTCTGTGAGTACGACCCTCACCTCACTCTCCACCTTGATGTGTTGGTGTCCTACAGGATCGCTGACAACAAGGGCGTGGTTGTTCCGATTCATCTCCGACCCTGGCAGCGTAGCCTCAAGACTGGATTTATCCCCATCCACAAGATGGGAACCATCACCATCCCCAATGTTTAATGTTGAATCTTTATGTTTTGATCCTGACTCTTCACTCTTCAGCTTCATGTCTCCAGACTCCATTGTATCCCCACAACCTATTGAGTTCACTGTGTTTGGTTTGCCAGAACTTTCCATAGAAGAAACAATACCATCACTAGGCACAACTGTACATTGATACTTCCTGAAACTTTGAGTCACTGTCGACGCAGGGGTCTGTTTCCATGGGAACAGATATGTCATCTGGTTTGTCAGAAGGTTCTGCTTCAGGGACCTCTTCGTCCTCCTCATCCTCCTCCGAGTCCTGATCCGATGACCCCGTCTCCAGTCTCTGGACTTGCATCTTCTCCGGAGACTTCTGTTTGGTCCATGCAAACAGGCTCCTCTGGAATCAGAAATAAATTAATTATCTTCCAATCCCAGCTTCCACAAGAGATATCACTCTAGGGGAGATGAAGCAGCACATCCATGCGTCTACATATAGTGACACTGATGTACCCTGCTGTAGTTTCAAATGAATACCTCACTTTTACACAGTAATTATTTAGGTTAGAACATATTTCAATGAGTTGGTATGACCTGAATGATTATCAAACCATTGACTCTCCCCTCTTGTGGTCAGACGCTCTAGCCACCACACCAATGCAATTGGGGCATGATTACATGATCAACCAAGTACCACTTTTCGAGCATGCAATCCTTATAAGTCATATTTTGTATGTGTATGATATTTCACAGACGATCCTGATTATGGCTATGCTAAGAGAATGAAAATTAATACCATATTGTTTACAAATCTGTAGTCAATGTTCCAATGACACAACAATGACAGCCATCCTGTACCATGTGGTACTAATGTACGCTTGTTTGTTATTTAAGGCTGCATAAAGACTATTCTTCCCTAAGTCTGTGGACTGTCCAGTGATTGAGCAACAGGCCCCAACAACAAAATACGACACCCAATCAACCCAGTCACTCAGCTGGACCACCTGATCACATTTCCCAAGGCGAAGCCCTGTGACTGGACACCTCACAAGACTGACCTGTTTGCTGGAGGTTGCCTGTAGAGTGACCGTCCACTTGCTGGAGATCCTCACCATCAAGTCTTTCACCTGACATAAAAACAGCTGGGGTTAGTGAGTGAGTTGGGTCAAACATTGACTTGAAATGTGCACGTTGTACTGGATCATGTCAGGGTGTGTGGGAGAATCTTATACAATCTAATGTTAGGCAAAATACGCTCTCAGGTTGTCATGTATACAAAAAAACCATGCACAGCAGAAACTGTAGAAGTACAAAAGCTACAATACCAAGACAAACCACTCCAATGACCTTGAGGAACCCCTGATTCTTTCCTGTTACTATAGTAACCTGCCATGCAAGTGTTGGTTAGGGTAGTACATGTCCATCCTGCTGCTCAGTTTGACAGGGGGTCAAGTGTGTTACGCTTTACGCTATTTTAGGCGATATGTCAGCAACCTCACAAAAGCAGGGACACCGGTAATGGATTAATCTTGCATCGCACCCAGGACATCCGTGGCGAGGGAATGCTTTAGGCTACCCCTCTGTTCTCAACTGACAGGTGAAGAAATATTAACGTACAATCCTGGTGTGTCTGCTGAGGAAATAAGCTTTGTGTTATTTGTGTGTTGCGATCCCAGTAGCCTGTAAAGTGTCGTGTGACTCACCCGGGTGTGGTCAAGTCTGCGAACATTGTCCCGAACATCACTGGTGAGTGTACGGAGCTGTTCCATCAGGAGCTGAAGGTAATCCTGCAAAGGACAGGGTGAATGTGAAGTACTTCAGGTATTAAACTAGACAGACAGCGAGCTACAACAAACACCACTTTGAAGCACACTTTAAGAAATATGTGAAGTACTTCAGGTATTAAATAGACAGACAGCGAGCTACAACAAACACCACTTTGAAGCATACTTTAAGAAATATGTGAAGTACTTCAGGTATTAAATAGACAGACAGCGAGCTACAACAAACACCCACTTTGAAACACCAAATATGTGAAGCTTCACTTTAAATAGACAGACAGCGAGCTGTTTGAAGCACACTTTAAGAAATATGTGAAGTACTTCAGACAAATAGACAGACAGCTGAGCTACAACAAACACCACTTTGAAGCACACTTTAAAGAAATATGTGAAGTACTTCAGGGTATTAAATAGAAGACATGAGCTACAACAAACACCACTTTGGTAGCAAATTTAGACAAATATGTGAAGTACTTCAGGGTATTAAATAGACACCAGCTACAACAAACACCACTTTGAAGCACACTTTGAAAATATGGGATACTTCAAGTACTTCAGGTATTAAATAGACAGACAATGAGCTACAACAAACACCACTTTGAAGCATACTTTAAGAAATATGTGAAGTACTTCAGGTATTAAATAGACAGACAGCGAGCTACAACAAACACCACTTTGAAGCATACTTTAAGAAATATGTGAAGTACTTCAGGTATTAAATAGACAGACAGCGAGCTACAACAAACACCACTTTGAAGCACACTTTAAGAAATATGTGAAGTACTTCAGGTATTAAATAGACAGACAGCGAGCTACAACAAACACCACTTTGAAGCATACTTTAAGAAATATGTCAGGATCACAACCTATGCTACCCACAAGCAGCAGATGCTGACTTGTAAGGGACACGAGTCTGTACAGTCAGTTGCATCACCTCAGCCCTCTGGTCAACTATGTGCCTACTGCTAAATATCGTGGCTTGCTGGATACACGAATACCTGGCATACCTGGTACTCGTACATCAGGTACACGTGGCAGCATGTAAAGAAGACATCAAGACCTGGTCACTGACCTTCTCCTCTGAGTTGAGGGGTTCACTGCCCACCGCGATGTCCAGCAGGGCAACACCACTGGCCAGGGCATACAGGTCATCTGTCGCCAGCTCCCTCAAGGCAGGGAACAACACTGTCAGCTGGTTCAACTGTAACCAGAAACACACTAACATGACAAGAAACACTCTCATATCAGAAGAAACACATATAAGGATAAACTTGATAACTTCATGGAAGGTAGGATGGTTTGTTGGTTAACATCGCACTCAGCAATATTCCAGCTATATGGCGGCGGCCTGTAAATAATCGAGTAAACCAAGTCAGCGAGCCTGACCACCCGATATCATTAGTGGCCTCTTACGAAAAGCATGGGTTGCTGAAGAGAAATTCTAACCTAGATTTTCACATGTCTTACTTCACAGAGAAACACACTTCCATAAGGAACATGAGAAACACATACATGCGAAGAAACAAGCACATGAGAAATATGATGACTTTGCTACATGAAGGGAAACATTCTCTCATATGAGGAGACTTAGGCTGACATGAAGAGAAACTAGGCTAACATGTTTATAACCTCTGGACCAAAATCATAGTCATACCCAATGGCACTGTCAAACGCTTTCATCACGAGGGTCAACTAGTTGACTAAGGTTTCAAAAAATCAAAATAATGCACACACAATAGAAGTATTGTTAAATCAGCATAAAGTATTCACAAATCCCAGTGATTTGTCCTACAGCTTGCGTGCGGGTTGTTAGTCTCATGACAGGTGTTTGATTTTGTGGCCTGACATTTATAACCTGATTCAAGAACCCTGTCAGCAAATGTGCAGCCTGTGCTGCAACTAAAGAATGACAGTGGGTTATTAGGACATGGAGACTCTACCACACAAACACTCTTTACATAGTCCTTGCTTCCCTATACTTAACATCATACCAGCAATATCATGAATTGGTATATCTTGCCTTGAATGTAGCAAGCTGTTGGTGGGAGACAGCGGCCCCTGGCTGCAGCATCTTCACTAGGAGGAGGTAAGCCAGTCGCCGCTGTATGCTGCTGCCCCGCTTGCCGTGGGGGAAGAGTTGAGTCAGGTAGACGTGGTTGTGGTGGTGGGAGGTGATGCAGGACAGTTGCGTGCACAGCATCGGCATCTGCAGCACAACACAGACACAACTTTACAGGTGAGCCTGACAGGTGATGGTGGGGTACCTGTTTATACCTCATTTATCAGTATCAGTATTAACCCAGGTCTTGGTGTGAAAAGTGAACAATTTAAATACTTGGCTAACCACCATTCACAACACAAAGCATCGTGGTTGAGCGGATGAGTTTAAACATTATTATTACAACCATTGATGTTGAAGCTGCTCTTTTTCCAAGGTTCCATGTCCTTGGCAACTAGGAACTGACCAGCACCACTGAGTAGTGTCCAGCAAGTAGATGTATTTATGAACCCAAGGGTAAGCTATAGATCCCAACTGAGAGTCAAAACTGTCAGACACCAGTGTAGTGATTTGGTGGTTGGTTTAACACTGCACTCTGCAATATTCCAGCTATATGGGGGAGGTCTGTAAATAATCAAGTCTGGACCAGACAATCCAGTGATCAACAGCAGGAGCATCAATCTACACAATTGGGATACGATGACATGTGTCAACCAAGTCAGCTAGCCTGACCACCCGATCCCGTTAGTCGCCTCTTATGACAAGCATGGGTTACTGAAGATCGTTTCTAACCCGGGAAGAGTGAGAGATTACACCATGAGGGAAGGGTAGTGTTGGGGTGCATGCAGACCTACCGTGGCGTCCCAGTCTTGCTGTGTGTAGCAGGGCAGGATGGAGCTGACCAACACGCTGAACTCGTATAACAGTTTGTTGCTGAAACAGTCCATGAGCGTCATTTAACGCAGCAGCTGACAATATCCCAGCTTAGACAGTTTATCAATAACAACATTTTAATATACTACTACAGCATGTTATTGCATAAATCTTTATACCATTGTCAGTCGTCCATATTGTCCACAAACTGTGTCTACTATGGCACCTTCAACTGTGGCCTGTACTAACTGACTATGGCACCTTCACAAGCAGCATATCAAGCAACATCACAACTCTACTACTGTGGCCTGTACAAACTGTGTCTACTATGGCACCTTCAACTTCTGAACAGCGTAGCAAGCAATATCACAACTCTACTACTGTGGCCTGTAAAAACTGTGCCAGCCAAGCAAATGGTTGACAGTATAAGCACCACATCACATGACACTACAAGCCACGATCAGTGATGCCCCATTCCACAGTGTAAGCATGAGGACGGTCGTGAGGATATGTCAGGGATATGTCAGGGTATGTGCATTTAATATGACCATCTGTGCACTATTATCACTCTGTGAAACAGGGTCCAGGTCTCATAGTGTTACTAGTTACAGCAATACCATGACAAGAATGGGGTGAAGGGAGTTACTGTTGAAGCTGAAACACTAGTCAGGGGAGGTAACCCTGAGAAACTTCAATTGAATGTTTCATTCTTTATCACTAATAGCAATAAAACAAATTTAAACAACACACAAAATGTTTTGGGTCACATTATTCTGGAACAAAAACATTTTTAACAATGGCAGTATGGAAGGTTTCAATACTTATCTTTACTAAACACATATATCAGACTCTGTCCAACATATCTCTACACAACACAAGACTCCCCGCACATGTAGCTGCAGTTACATACGAGCTCTCTACTAAGGGAGATAACTCCCTTGGGCCTCCCATAAACTGCCATTGTACCTCATTGGTTTCTTCTGTATTCTGAACAGTGTTATTGTCCTTCATGTTACTGTCCTTCATGTTATTGTCCTTCCACACATACCTTGAACAAATGGTTTGAATTTGTGTATAAGAATCATTAAGATTTTGAAAAATTGGGTATGAAGATCAAATAATGAAAGGTTTGTGTATCTCTGTGTCTAGTGTTCTCCATGATAGCTGACAGCCACATTCTCACATGCTGCAGCTGAGGCTAAGTGCTGGAGTACTCACTTGTTGAACTCCTTGTCCAGAGCTGCCTTGGCTGTCATCAGCAGGATGGTGCTCAGCTGGGAGGCCGAGTACTGGGGCCTGCAACACAGTGAATCAGACAGAGAGTGAGACATATAGTGAGACAGATAGTGAGTGAGACAGACAGTGAGTGAGCGAGTGATTCAGTGTGTGAGACAGTGAGTGAATGACATAGTAAGTATAAGAGGGAAAGTGAATATGAGAGTGAGTGTGTAAGTGAGACAGTGAGTGACATTTAGTATAAGAGGGACAATGAGTGAGTGAGTAAGAGTGAGTGAGTGAGTGAGTCAGTCAGTCAGTGAGAGCGAGCAAGCGAGCTAGCGCTTCTATTATGTCAAAGTATATAAGCTGTAAATCGAAGGAAGCAGTACAGCTCACTGCCAGATCAGGAAGTTTACAGCTGATGCTTATGCCACACCAGCAACTATACAGCTTTTCATGAGGGAAAGGAGTATTTTTATTTGGTGTGTTCACTATATACGTAACTGACAACAGCAGGTCATCTTCGGGTGAAAGATACACGTCATGCTTCCCATGAAAACTGTAGCTTAATATCTGACCATCAGTATACCATGTGGACAATATGATGATTCTGTAAAACTATCTGTTTGCAGTTACCTCCCCTGAAGCGCAAAAGCCATTGTCTGAAGCACCTCCCGCAGGTTCTCCGAGTACGACCACACTGGAACATTGTTGTTGTCTGGGGCCAGGTTACTGTCATCTTCTGGGGTGACACAGGTCCTGGTGGGGGGAATCAGATTACATGGTGTCAGCAGTGAGTTCACAAGTTCTCATGCCACTTTATACACGATGTCACAGCTCGACACATAATCAGTCCTAGGTATCCTGTATGCCCAAGGGGGGCAACTTCATGCAGTGAACTGTAGTGCCGTAGATGTGAGGGCTATGTTATTATACTGAAGTCAATGTTAAGTATTTGAGAACAGATTTCAAGGTCAATTTTGCAGGTTTATATTATATTGAGTTTGACAAATGTGATTGCCAATCTAACTGGACTCCAAATGATAGTTGTCAAACTGTTTCACACAAATTAAATACCTTGAGACAAACATGCCAAGATTAACAGTAACAAACATCTTAACACAATTAATACAAGCAAGTGATTTACCTGATTTCTTCCTGTGAGAAAAAGTCGTGGTCCGGCAACAGGTCGGCTGAACAAGCACCTGCCAAACAAGTCCGTCACAGAGGTATTACGGTACTAAACACTGGAAATTACCCAGTACCATAGGCAACCCTTACACATATTTATGTCTATAAGTAAGTTGGAGCTACCACAAGTCCAACTCCCATGTTGCCATGTGTGAAAGATTTCTGGCCCTCCTAAACTTTATTTGTGCATTTGTTGTTTAACACCGCACTCAGCAATATCCCAGCTATATGGCCGCGGTCTGTAAATAATTGAGTCTGGACCAGACAATCCAGTGATCAACAGCATGAGCATTGATCTTGGCAATAGGGAAATGATGCAATGTGTCAACCAAGTCAGTGTGCCTGACGACCCGATCCTGTTAATCGCCTCTTATGACAGGCATGGGTTGCTGAAGACCTGGATCTTCACGGGTGGCCCTCCTGTAAAACATCTGCCCACAGTGTAGCATGCAAGCACCTGTTTCAAATGTTGATGCAGCATTGTTAGCATCATGATCCAAACTGTATAAAGGAGCAATCAAATTGTGAAAAGAAGAATTCTCACCAAAATTGACAAAGACTTTGAGGACATCGAGGGCAGCTGGCGCCCAGCTGTAACTGGTGTCCTCCTGACTGAGCTGGGTGTGGATGATGTCAAACAGGAGCTTCTTGCATCCCTGGATCACTTGGCTGCTCCTGTGTACTGACACTGCAAAATACAGGAAAGGGATTGCAAGGGCTACAGATTAACAAGGTTCCACTGACCTATATAACAGATGGCAAAGGGAGGTAATTCAGTTCACACTGACGTGCCTCCGACACCGCCCTGAGAAACAACAGATATCACTCAGGCTGTTGAATAAGGTGAGGAGTTGATAGTTGGTTTACACTGTTAGTTGTACCATAGTTGTATCATTACAACAATAATTACATAATCCAGTTCAACCAGTGATGGATCTGATCCCTATTGTTGTACTAAAAACAATATGGTATACTGGCACATGAACAAAAATATTTTTCAACTGAGGACCAACTACCTGTTTTGTGATATATTTCATTTCATGATTCATTGTTATAATTAGTTTATGGAAGACCATTTTTCATATTTTGTCTTTGGTTGAACAAGAAATAGCCAAACTTCTAAGATGCTTTGCTAAAAGATGAAAGGCGCTGACAGCCTATGTCCACAGGTCCCTTAAACAAGAGTCATCAGAAGATGGCACATCACCACCCCACCCCCACCCCTGACCCCACATATTTGAAAGAACAAATCATCCGACAGTTACTTAAAGTCCAACTTGATTTTTTTAGGCTAAGTCGGAGTCCAAATCATTTCCATTGAAACCAAGAAAAACAAAAATGACAAAAAATCTGTAAATAACAAAAGGCACCACTTCAAGATCTGTCTCATATATCTGCCAAGTTCTATTGGAAGATATTGAACGGTTTTCGAGTTGTGCTCCGGAAACGAGGCCCACCCCTCCTTTTTGAGACTAAGTCCGAATCGTTTCCATGGAAACCGAGAAAATGATAAATCACAAATATCTGTAAATAGCAAAAGACAACACCTTGGGTTTTGTTTGATATATCTACCAATATTTGTTGAAATATATATTAACGGTTTTTTAGTTGCTCCATAAACGAAATGATTACATGCCGGGGGGATAAAATACTAATGAAATAACAAGCACCGGATAAGTCCACAATACAGAGATGTGTCAACACTTACTTATGTAGAAGATCCACTGTAGTATCTCCTCCTGTCTTGTGATCTTGTGGAAGCAGATGGACAACATGTCTGTGGTCAGCAGGTCACAGAGGGCATCTGAGAACAGCAAAGACACATGTACAACACAGGGCATCTGAGAACAGCAGAGACAGGTACAACACAGGGCATCTGACAACAGCAGAGACACACGTACAACACAGGGCATCTGAGAACAGCAGAGACAAATTGACAACACAGGGCATCTGAGAACAGCAGAGACAAATTGACAACACAGGGCATCTGAGAACAGCAGAGACACATGGACAACACAGGGCATCTGAGAACAGCAGAGACAGGGGCATCTGACAACACAGGGCACAGGTACTGAGAACAGCAGAGACAAGTACAACACAGGGCATCTGAGAACAGCAGAGACACATGTACAACACAGGGCATCTGAGAACAGCAGAGACACATTTACAACACAGGGCATCTGAGAACAGCAGAGACACATGTACAACACAGGGCATCTGACAACAGCAGAGACAGGTACAACACAGGGCATCTGACAACAGCAGAGACACATGGACAACACAGGGCATCTGAGAACAGCAGAGACAGGTACAACACAGGGCATCTGACAACAGCAGAGACACACGTACAACACAGGGCATCTGACAACAGCAGAGACACATGGACAACACAGGGCATCTGAGAACAGCAGAGACACATGGACAACACAGGGCATCTGAGAACAGCAGAGACACATGGACAACACACATGATTGCTAAAATGATCAAAACATCATGCCATCAATGTCCAGTGACTGGCAACCTCAGCCGAACCAACAAATCAACTGAGTCTCATGAGGTTTCGTCATGGACTTTTTAACTTTATTCTTAATTTCAAACATGCCTTGGTGACAAAAGGACAGACCTCATGACCATTGAATCTTATGAGTTATACAACAATGCTTGGTGTAGTATCATCACTTACCTGGAGCGATGTTGGCCAGGTGTTTCTCCAGGAAGTTGTTGGAAGGAAGGAAGCCACATCGGCCCGGACTGAGAGCCTCACTGAACACACAAGGGAACGTACCAGGATGGAACACCAGGTCTCCGGGATGATGATCTTGGATGGTGCTCTCAGACACTTGGAACTGCACACACAAAGCAGAGAGGAATACTGTCTGGATCTATCAGGGCCAGATTAACTCCATACAAAGCAGAGAGGAATACTGCCTGGATCTATCAGGGCCAGATTAAGGCCAGACAAAGCAGAGAGGAATACTGCCTGGATCTATCAGGGCCAGATTAAGGCCAGACAAAGCAGTGGTTGTTATGATGAACAAATTTCCCAGTCTATTAATGCCAGATATAGCAGTGGTTGTCATGACGAGCAATGTCCAACCCTGCATCAATGTAGATGTCTATTCGAACCATTGGTCTCAGACAGTGTAAAAATAATCAACAAATCAACTCACATATTCCAACTTCTGCTGATGTTCAGGCAGCAAATCATCTATTGAAAGAAACCCAAAATTATTGAAGTTCAACAACATATAAACAAGTATCAGTCAAGTCTCAGCTTACAGCAAGTGGGGCCTGTCCGTTTGGACAAGCTGTATGTTTGAGTAAAATATGCAAACTGAATCACCATATTCCAATCTACTGTAAATCAATTTTTGCGTCACAACATTTTTGCGAGTGGCGACCAACAAGCGTTTTTGCGTCATGATATTGCGACTTGCCTCTCAAAGCTGTGATGAAAGATCAGTTAAGTCACTGGTATGCTGAAATGTGTCAGCGAACTTGAAAGACAATGACATCACCAAAGCTATTGATCTCCAGATAAATGTGATGAAACCTATCCACGCTGGTTGGATGGTGTCGGCCTATCAAATGGTCTCTAAAGACAAAGAATGTGTGTTGCGTTGTCAGATGACTATCAGATGTACTGATTGAGTAACTTTTGTTTGAGTATCCCTTGTTTGACATGTGACATGTGAGTACTAGTAATACTAGCAATCAGTCTTCCCCCAAGTTGTTTCATTGCTTAATTAATGTATTGTCTAGATCTGTGGTTTATTATATGAACACGTGAATAATGAGACACTTTGTTTGTTGATTGTTTATTGCGTTTGACCAGCAAATGTGTCATGATATTTTTGCGAGCTCAAGTCATTTGCAATTTTCGCAAAAATATCATGTTGGCAAAAATGTCATTATTTACAGGATTTGTGGCAACTTAAATGTCAACTCAACTCGTGTGAAACCTGCACAAAATGAGTGCAACACACGGACATGTACAGCTGTTGTGAGCTAATGCTACATCTGACACACCTCCAGCAGAATATGAAAATACTTGTAGAAACAATTTCCCATTGGTCTTACAGACAGCAGTATTCAACTGTTCTTGCCTATGTCTACACTGGGTTCTTACAACAGGCTTGGGTTACTGTTGGCTACTTCTGAATCATAGATCTACAAGGCACTGACAGATAGAACACACGATTGTAGGACAAAAACCCGGTGGACAAAAGCCCCCAAGGACAAAAGCCCCTTAGGACAAAAACCCATAAGGACAAAAAAAACAAATGAGGACCTTTGGACAAAAGCCCCAAACATGTTTTAACTACTGAGTGATTGACTTAAGTGACATGCTTTGATTGAATCAGTAATAGAGATTATCAGTGATAGGGATTAACAGGCTTCATTAATTAACTTAGTATTTCGATTGCAAACATTATTAAGGGTGAACCTTCAATATTGATGAGGATTAACTGACTTAATATTAGAGAATATTTAAAGTTTAATTAATCAACTTAGTATTTAGATATGAACACATTATTCAGTATTTCAACTCACTGTCATATTACAACTGGTATAAATATATGCTCCATAAACTAAGCAGGCAGTAGCATTCCAGCATGGAGATATTGAAGAATAATATGGGGGTAAGAGCACTGGAAAGTCACACATTCACTGTACTGGGAATGTACCCAGTTTATGCCTGTGCTCATTGGTGCTCATAATGTATGTGTGTGTGTTTGGCGTTCATGGTGGTGGTGGTGTTTGTCCTTCATGGTGGGGCTTTGTCCTAGGGGCTTTTGTCAACAGGGTTTTTTGTCCGCACACCAAACAGACATACCTTCAGAGTCCTCTGCTTCTGCCTCTGCTACCTTGATGAAACCACCCTGCCTAATGCCCTCCTGTAAACAAAGTGGGAAAAGTATTACTCCATTCTTTAGAAATGTCCCAGACATATAAATGGATGGGTGGATTGTTGTCTAATGCTGCATTCAGCAATTTATTCGAGCTGTAAATAATTGTGTCTGGACCAGACAATATCGAGCATCGATTGAGGTGAATGGGACACTAGGAAGGTTTTTCACACATTGTGAGGAATCAAAGCTAGGTCTTCAATAGTATGGACTACTGTTTTAACCACTGAGCTATCAGTGCCACCCCTTGTATGAGGGATTGTAAACATGCCCATAGCTGTATGTTAACGTCACATACAAGTTTCAAAGCTCACATCTACAACCAACACTACCACCAATTTAGATACATATTAAAAATGAAGTGGGCAGAATTAAGTACCTACTTATAGCTTATTCCCACAACTCCTGAGAATTCTAATGGACTTACAACATGGCTTCAACCACGGGTCTGACATTCCAAGCCAAACAGTCCATATACAGGTAGACAAATAGTCCTGTTCAAGCAATGAAATCTTAAACAATTTACATCTGTAACTGTAACCTAAATGTATCTGTGTTGAACCGGAAATAAGGAAGAATTCATATGATTTCTTCAATAACAGCGTCCCCCTATACACCGTCTGTATTATTGGCTTCAGATGAAGTGCTTCAGCTGCTTTAAGAGATCTTTATGTCAACCTAAATGATGAAATGTTAGCACAGTGTTCCAAAATAGGGAGGTTCTAGTGAGTGAGTGAGTTTAGTTTTACGCTGCACTCAGCAATATTCCAGCAATATGGCAGCGGTCTGTAAATGATCGAGTTTGGACCAGACAATCCAGTGATCAACAGCATGAGCATCGATCTGCGAATTGGGAACTGATGACATGTGTCAACCATGCCAGCGAGCCTGACCACCCGATCCCGTTAGTTGCCTCTTACGACAAGCATGAGTTACTGAAGACCAATATTCTAACCCGGACCTTCACGATTCAAATATTCTAACCCGGACCTTCACAAGTTAGAGGTTCTAGTAGTCCTTGATCATGAGGGGTATCTGAATCCAGGGACTATTACAGGTTCCGCTTATAGCATCAGGGCAATGACAGGTGCCCTTTGACATTCATGCTTCCAAATAAAGAACACTGTAGGTGGGAACCTGGATTCCAATACTACACCAGCTAACATTCAATATTCCAATCTGGCATGATGGAAAGTAGAAAACAAGTTAGAGAAGGGAAGTACACTCACTTCCAGAAGTGTGAGGACTAAATTGTAAATGTTGGGTTTTGAATCATTGTACAGGGACCAAATCATAATTGTTATGATTAAATAATAACTGTAGGAATTTACTCAAAATGGGTCATAAGGGTAAGTTTTAAATCATAAGGGTAGGGATTTAATTGTATTAAAGGTTGAGATTAAATAAATATAAGTAAGTATAAAATAAATAAAAGTAAGGATTAATTAAGAAGGTTAGGGATTAAATCATAAGGGTGAGGATTATTTCGAAGGGGAAGCTGACTGTAGCAGCCAACCCTGATATTCACCTTCAGTTGGTTCTGCATGAGGTGAAGTTCACGGTCTGCCTCCTCCTGTGGTGAAGATACACAAGCCATCATCATCCACATGTCCCATATACAGAAACACACAACCTTGACATGGAGCGAGACGTTTACATGGGGCTCACAAGGATAAGCAAGTGTTAATTAAGTTGACATACTGTACTCCATGTAATGATTGGACTTCCGAATTCAAGACTTCGAATTAAATATTTTCATTTATTTTTAATATATTGGTATATACTGCAAAGTGCACCAGATGTCGCCTTTTTATTATATATCAATATTTAAACATTGTTGTTAGTAATTATGTCATTTTCAAAATTGATATTTCTTTAGTCAGGCACTCATTTAGAAAATATATTATTATGTCTGATTCGTCTCAAATGAAAGAAATGTTTGGCTTTGCAATGAAAGTAATTTGCTACATACACATGAATCTAAACAACCAATTTTAAGAGGGAACTTTACAAGTGACATAAAATACCTGAAAGAAAAATACACAATTTGGGAAGCATCTTTGAAAGGATACTCAGTTTGTTTATTCTTCAGCTCAAAGGACCTGTAAGCAATATGTGGGATATGCTCTAAGGACCTTTAAGTGACACTTTGGACCTATTCTTACGACCTGCAACTGACACTTGGGACATATTCTAAGGACCTGTAAGTAGCACTTGGGACATACTCTTAGGACCTGTAAGTGACACTTGGGACATACTCTTACGACCTGTGAGGGTGGGAGTGAGTTAGTTTAGTTTTAGGCTGCACTCAGCAATATTCCAACTACATGGCGGCGGTCTGCAAATAGTCGAGTCTGGACCAGACAATCCAGTGATCAACAGCATGAGCATGGATCTGCGCAATTAGGAACCAATGACATGTGTCAACCAAGTCAGCGAGCCTGACCACCCAATCACGTTAGTCGCCTCTTACGACAAGCATGGGTTACCAAAGATCAATATTCTAACCCGGACTTTCACAGGTCGACCTGTAAGTTACACTTTGGACATACTCACAGGACCTGTTAGTGACACTTGGAACATACTCTTGGGACCTATTCTTAGGACCTGTAAGTGACACTTGGGACCTATTCTTAGGACCAGTAAGTGATACTTGGGACATATTCTTAGGACCTGTAAGTGACACTTGGGACATCTTGTAAGGACATGTAAGTAATACTTGGGACATGTTCTAAGACAAGCTAACATCACACAGAAAACATCAGCCAATGGACAGACTACCCCAGTGTGTATGACTCAAGGTTTATTATGTCCACCTACATTCTCCACCTTCTCTGCCAGTAAGGCATCGAGAGAGAAAGCAGACTTGGCCTCTGTAGTTCTGCTGACACCGGGCTTGGTACTGCAGCTAACAGCGGCCGCCTCCAGCAGGAAACTGTCATCACTGAGCACAGACTGAAACACAAACAAGGCCTTACATCTCATACAATATTTCATATTAGTATGTAAAATCCAATGAATGTTTGTAATATCCGATGTATGTTTGTAATGCCCAATGGATGTTTGTAATAGCAAATGTATGTTTGTAACGTCTAATGCATGTTTGTAATAGCAAATGTATGTTTGTATGTTTTGTAATAGCAAATGTATGTGTTTGTAACGTCTAATGAATGTTGTTTGTAACGTCTAATGAATGTTTGTAATAGCAAATGTATACTATCCACATAAATAAACTGTGCATTGTCAAAATATTATCCCAGTTGATAAGTACGATAACAATGTCAAAGGTACATATAAACTTTAATGGAGGCATCATGAGACCATAACAAGTCGGGAGAATTTCAATTGAAAAGTCAATCACAATGACATCACAAGTCCACAAGCAGGACAGGGGTCAAACGACCATGTCACAAGCTCAATAACGGGTATGTCCACCATCGGCATTGAGAACAGCAGTGCATCAACGGTGCATAGAGCCTATCAAAAGTGCAAGGAAGGCTTGTGGGATGTCACGCCAGATTCTCTCAAGTTCTGTTGCAAGGTCAAGGACGTTATCTGGCGGATGAGGAGGACGGCGTAGATGTCGATCCATCTCGTCCCAAAGATGACCTATCGGGGAGAGATCCAGTGAATTTGCAGGCCAAGGCAGTAAGTCAACATTGTGGTGTTGCAAGAAATCCATAGCAACCCTTGCCAATGAGGAATTTGCCACCAAGGGCCATGCCAGAAAAGAATCTGATCCCTGTAACCCACACCAATTAAGTTGCCCTGAACAATCACCAAAGGAGTTCTTTGGCGGAACCACCACCAAAGCGATTCCTCTCCAAGACACAGGCCTGTGCATAATAGGCACGTTGACGTCCATCACTATGGGAAATGTTAAACCTGGACTCATCTGTAAAAACAACATTTCTCCACCAAAACAAGGGTCTGCGAACATGATTTCGGCACCACATTCGGCGAGCTTGTCGATGGCGTTGTGTCAGATAGGCCGTTATGGCGGGGCGTAAAATGGTCTGATCCGTGATGACGTAAACGTTGTCGAACTGTGTTGGGGTGGATACGGTTGAGTCCTAGGACGGTTCGGGCAGTCATCACTGCAGTCTGAAACCTGTGGCGAAGATGGGTCACCCTTATCCATATGTCCTGTGCATTGTGTGTACTTGCTTCAAGGTCTGCCTGACAGACTAGGCTACAATATCAGTTAGGCCTGGCAGGTGACTTGCATGAGCAGCATTGTGAGTACTTGCTTCAAGGTCTGCCTGGCAGACTAGGCTACAATATCAGTTAGGCCTGGCAGGTGACTTGCATGGGCAGCATTGTGAGTACTTGCTTCAAGGTCTGCCTGACAGACTAGGCTACAATATCAGTTAGGCCTGGCAGGTGACTTGCATGGGCAGCATTGTGTGTACTTGCTTCAAGGTCTGCCTGACAGACTAGGCTACAATATCAGTTAGGCCTGGCAGGTGACTTGCATGGGCAGCATTGTGTACTTGCTTCAAGGTCTGCCTGACAGACTAGGCTACAGTATCAGTTAGGCCTGGCAGGTGACTTGCATGGGCAGCATTGTGTGTACTTGCTTCAAGGTCTGCCTGACAGACTAGGCTACAATATCAGTTAGGCCTGGCAGGTGACTTGCATGGGCAGCATTGTGTGTACTTGCTTCAAGGTCTGCATGGCAGACTAGGCTACAATATCAGTTAGGCCTGGCAGGTGACTTGCATGGGCAGCATTGTGTGTACTTGCTCAAGGTCTGCCTGACAGACTAGGCTACAATATCAGTTATTCCTGGCAGGTGACTACCTGCTGCTGCAACATATCGGGAACGAGGGACCTTACTCCCTTACTAAATATGACCTTACACCTGAACCTTAAAATATATAGATGTAAGCAGTGACCAGTTCCACAACAAGTTAAGGACAACTGTAATCTTTCATATTAATGTAGCTCATCTGTGATGCCAGGGCAGGTTAAAACTGTAGTAATATGAAGGAACTGGCAGTCCACTACAGGGCTAAAAAATTCCACTTTCGTCTGCTTGTATTGGCCGAGTAAAATTGTTTCAGGCAGAGTGAAAACATAATTTGCTCGTCCTAGAAGGGGGCGAGTACACTTTCTGACCCAAAAGTAACATTTTCTTTTTCCTTGAAGTTCAGCTATCTTAAAAAGGTCTGCATGACAGACTAGGCTACATTGTCAGTTAGGCCTGGCAGGTGACTCTGCATGGGCAGCATTGTGTGTACTTGCTTCAAGGTCTGCATGACAGACTAGGCTACAATATCAGTTAGGCCTGGCAGGTGACTTGCATGGGCAGCATTGTGTACTTGCTTCAAGGTCTGCATGACAGACTAGGCTACAATATCAGTTAGGCCTGGCAGGTGACTTGCATGGGCAGCATTGTGTGTACTTGCTTCAAGGTCTGCATGACAGACTAGGCTACAATATCAGTTAGGCCTGGCAGGTGACTTGCATGGGCAGCATTGTGTGTACTTGCTTCAAGGTCTGCATGACAGACTAGGCTACAATATCAGTTAGGCCTGGCAGGTGACTTGCATGGGCAGCATTGTTATTACTTGCTTCAAGGTCTGCCTGACAGACTAGGCTACAATATCAGTTAGGCCTGGCAGGTGACTTGCATGGGCAGCATTGTGTGTACTTGCTTCAAGGTCTGCCTGACAGACTAGGCTACAATATCAGTTAGGCCTGGCAGGTGACTTGCATGGGCAGCATTGTGTGTACTTGCTTCAAGGTCTGCCTGACAGACTAGGCTACAGTATCAGTTAGGCCTGGCAGGTGACTTGCATGGGCAGCATTGTGTGTACTTGCTTCACGGTCTGCCTGACAGACTAGGCTACAGTATCAGTTAGGCCTGGCAGGTGACTACCTGCTGCTGCAACATGTCGGGAACGAGGGACTTTACTCCCTTACTAAATATTAGCTTACACCTGAACCTTAAAATACATAGATGTAAGCAGTGACCAGTTCCACAACAAGTTAAGGACAACTGTAATCTTTCATATTAATGTAGCTCATCTGTGATGCCAGGGCAGGTTAAAACTGTAGTAATATGAAGGAACTGGCAGTCCACTACAGGGCTAAAAAATTCCACTCGTCTGCTTGTATTGACGAGTAAAATTGTTTCAGGCAAGTGAAAAACATAATTTGCTCGTCCTAGAGGACGAGTACACTTTCTGACCCAAAAGTAACATTTTCTTTTTCCTTGAAGTTCAGCTATCTTAAATGGTGAATGAATTCAAGTCTGTCAAAGATTTTGTACAGAAGACAAAGTAAGTAATGTTATTGTAGTCTTATTCCAAGCAAACATTTTGAAATAAAATAATATAAATTTATATTCATTGTGATGCATGATCTATAGGGAAAGTACAATTCTAGAAGGACAAGTGGAAAGTTCATATTACTCGCCCTACAGGGCGAGTGCAGATTTTTTAATTTTTCGAGCCCTGCAGTAAATGTTTCTGTGTGGTGTATGTAAGACAGGAATGTATACATCAGTGGCAGACAGTAACTTTCCACGTCTCATAAGCAAACTCACTAGTGGAAGTAAGTGAATCTCATAGATAATATACTGTCTGATAAACAAGATGAGCGAGTGAGCGAGTGAGTGAGTGAGCGAGCTTGGGTGGGTGTGTGGGTGGCTGAACCCAGTCTTGAAAAGCATATCAGTTATATCACAGCATGACTGTTTAAATATTCGTACTTTAGTAAAACAGGTGACCTGCTGCAACTGGTGAATTCATCAGAAAAATTCAAATATTTGTCACCAAGGCAACAAAGGGCTGAATGTGCTTTTTTACTGATTCATTCACGTAGTGCATGAACACTTGACACGTCTCTAGTCAACAAATATATTGGTGAACATGACTGGACTAAACGGCCCCCTTATTAACAGTGATCTTGGATAGACCATACATTTTTGCTGTTCCAATGATTTTACAACACCTGGTGGTGAAGGAGTACGAAATTGGTTCTGGAGCTCACCTCCCTTTGTAACTGCCATACTGATAACAATATATATTGTAAAAGTCACAAAAATTGTAAAAGCTGCACAAAAATGTGTGCGCACAACTGAGGTTTTGGTGTGACAAAGCAGCATACATGTGGGTCAAAAATATGACAAAATATGTATTATTTTACAAAGTATTCTTCAAACTTTATGAATGTCTAATTAAAAACCTGTACATGTACACAAATGTAAAATAATATGCGTACATGACATGGCTTAGCAAGGGCAGCCATGTCTAAAATCTGACCTGTCTCAAATAAGCTCACTTTAGGTCATTTTAGGAACACAGAGAAGAATTAGTACAAGATTAAATATGTTTAGTTTCTGACTAAAACAGTCTCCAAGTTAAATCATGGCCTGTGAACTTGATGTGGGAGAAAAGTCAGAATTGATGCCAGTCTTCTAGCCACAACCATGCCCAAGGGACATAACTCTGCACAGCGACTTACAGTGTCTTGTATTACAAAGCTACCCATGCCCCCACAGGAAATAAGAAACATTGTTGATAGATATGTCAACTGTTAGTATAGATGTCTGAGTGAAGGGTCAGCAAACAATGAGCCTGTGAAACATTCACCCCATCCAGGCATCTACTCTACAGTCTGCTGCAAGTCACATGGCAATTAAAGGTATCATGCCCAAAATATAGTATAATAATTATCCAGCAGTCGAAAAATAGAAACCATCAATGTTTTCTATTTTGCAAATTGTTATAAAGTACAAATATGGGGACGTTTCTTCTTCTGTGTTTTCTTTCATAAAATAACTGGTATTTATAAAGTGAAGTATGTCTAATTTATACCACTTATGGGACAGTGTTAAACCACAGGTGTTACACACTATATTAGTTGACCATTTATTTTCTATGAATGTTTATTAATCTCATACGAACCCACCATGACACATATCTCAATGATTTACATTAGGTGTTCATGGAAAGTGGATATGATGCATCTTCTTAATATTAAATTCATGGATTTTACAAGTGACAAAGGTCACATTTTCATCTTTGATTAAACTTTCTTCTTTGCAATCAAAACATCCATGGGAAAGTTTGAATTACAAACAGTCGATGCCCTGGAAAATGAAGCCAATGTGAACTTCAACAAATGTACGATCGCTGGACGGTGATTGAGTTTAACACACTCTTACCTCTGACTGTGTGTGCTCTGGAGTTCCTGGTCTCATGCCTGCTTCTAAGATTGCCTTGCTGAAATATAACAAAATGCAATAGTCAAAACACCTGTCAGCAATATTCCAGTTACATCACAGCAACATGTCAAAAATCAAGTATTCCAGTTATATCACAGCAACATGTCAATAATCAAGTATTCCAGTTATACCACAGGAACTTGTCATGAATCAAGTATTCCAGTTATACCACAGCAACATGTCATGAATCAAGTATTCCAGTTATACCACAGCAACAAGTCATGAATCAAGTATTCCAGTTATACCACAGGAACTTGTCATGAATCAGGTATTCCAGTTATATCTCAGCAACAAGTCAATAATCAAGTATTCCAGTTATACCACAGGAACTTGTCATGAATCAAGTATTCCAGTTATACCACAGCAACAAGTCAATAATCAAGTATTCCAGTTATACCACAGGAACTTGTCATGAATCAGGTATTCCAGTTATACCTCAGCAACATGTCAATAATCAAGTATTCCAGTTATACCACAGGAACTTGTCATGAATCAAGTATTCCAGTTATACAACAGCAACATGTCCATAATCAAGTATTCCAGTTATACCACAGCAACATGTCATGAATCAAGTATTCCAGTTATACCACAGGAACTTGTCATGAATCAAGTATTCCAGTTATACAACAGCAACATGTCAATAATCAAGTATTCCAGTTATACCACAGGAACTTGTCATGAATCAAGTATTCCAGTAATACAACAGCAACATGTCATGAATCAAGTATTCCAGTTACATCACAGCAACTTGTCATGAATCAAGTATTCCAGTTATACCACAGGAACTTGTCATGAATCAAGTATTCCAGTTATACAACAGCAACATGTCAAGAATCAAGTATTCCAGTTATACCACAGCAGCATGTCCATAATCAAAGTATTCCAGTTATATCACAGCAACTTGTCAAGAATCAAGTATTCCAGTTATATCACAGCAACATGTCAAGAATCAAGTATTCCAGTTATACCACAGCAACATGTCATGAATCAAGTATTCCAGTTATATCACAGCAACATGTCATGAATCAAGTATTCCAGTTATACCACAGCAACATGTCATGAATCAAGTATTCCAGTTATACCACAGCAACATGTCAAGAATCAAGTATTCCAGTTATACCACAGCAACATGTCATGAATCAAGTATTCCAGTTATACCACAGCAACATGTCAAGAATCAAGTATTCCAGTTATACCACAGCAATATGTCAATAATCAAAGTATTCCAGTTATATCACAGAAGTAGTGTGTTTATATACACTATTCGACATTGTTGAACAATACATAGTTGCATAAGTGACTGTAAGGCTGTCCACATGTTTCTGTGTGTTTCCGATCTGTCTGCCCTCACTTTTCCTTCATGGTGAAAAAACATAAAGCTTTCTTACTACAGTTTTCCCCCAGCTGTGGAAATTTATGACGTGATGTTATATAGAACGTCTTGCCCTTGTACACTCCTAACAATTTCAGGTCAGGTTGATCTTTCTTATCTACCTTTATTTAAAATGTGTTTGATAAACAAAGCAACTAATTCCACATTATAAATCAGTTTCACGCCTATTACCAAGTGATCCTAATTTTAAAAGTTCATAAATTAAGTTCCACAATTATAGAAAAACAGTTTTCTGTCTTTTAATTTTATACTTATTTGTTCCACATATCCACTTACTTGCTGGCTAAGTCTGGAGATTAGAAATTAGAATGTTTTGGTTGGCCTTACCTGGAAAATGGGAAGTTACATGAGTAAGGTATGAGGACAGCTGGTCAGCCGCCAGTCAGTGTATGTTGTGTCACACCACAGTAACTCTCCTGTTACTGACAACCAGTAGTTAACAGCAGGAACAATTACAGACATCCACACACAGTGGGACTGAGCAGCTTCAGCTCTGACATTGGCAGTCGAGACAAGTGTGAACCAGCAGGCACCAGGCCAACCCAGAAACACAATTGTGGGAGAGCCCTGTGAAGTTCCGATCTATACAGTATTCATATCTCTTCTGTTAACTACTTAATCACACAGTAATTTGGTAATAATGATAATTATAGCTCAGTAATTAGGGCTCCTTGCTGCAAAGCAGGAGACCTATTGTAATCGTTAATGTTTTTATTATTATTATTTATTATTCCGCCGTATTTTGTAGCACTTGTACAAAAAGCACTGCTGGACAGAATCGCATGAAAAACATCACTAAGGTGCCGACAGTACTGAAGTTGTTTCTGCAAAAATCTCAAGGCTCTAGGCCCAATAGCCAAGGGGAGATAATTCAAAATTAATCTTAAAAATTCAATTTCCAAAGCAATAATCTCCGAAACTACAAGTCCAATGACTACCAAATTTCTGGAGCAGCTCTGGAATCCGATTACCTTCAATTTCAACCGCTGGAACCATGGGGCTAGGAGGCACCGTTTGGCCGCCATATTGCATTGAAGGAAATTTCACGTTTTTGACGGGTAGGCATTTCCGTATGTCATGTGTGTGTGCATCTGATAGCTGAAGTCCTGGCAATTCCAGAACACTAATTGGTTCTGATTGTGGACCCAAGGACTACGGATCTACAGTCTGTTAAAGAGGGAACTATATCTTCTTCAGAACTTCTTAAAAGGTACATGACCCCATGGAAACAACAACAAAACAAATTCTGAAAAAAAATTATAAAATAGCAAAAGGCACATCAATGGGTAATGATTAACATGCGTGTGAAGTTTGGTGAACCTAGCATGTAAACTGAAAGAGATATGCTCCGGACAAAACCATCAAACACATTTGGCACTAAGTCGTGTTTCCATGGAAACTGCAAAAAAAACAAAATTCTGAAAAAACTTTAAAATACCAAAAGGCACATCAATTGGTAATGATTAACATGTGTGTGAAGTTTGGTGAACCTAGCATGTAAACTTTAAGAGATATGCTCCTGACAAACTTTCGGGATGGAAGGACAGGACGGACGGACGGACAGAATGAACGCTATATAGCCCCCCATTACTTTGTAGCAGGGGTATAATTATATCTAATTACATTAAATAGAAATATATCTGTCCACATTTATCCGGCACACATAATTATACCTGGCAGTTTCTGATAAGCACCCACAGAGGTTCACTCAAATACAGTACACAATCAAGGAATCACATTCTGGGGCATGGTGGTGCTATCATTGTAGCAAATCAACCAATTATTGTACACATCAGCTGATACTGGCTCGCTGGTCAAGCACTACTGGTATCTCGAAACACCTAAACGGGTCATGATTGTCATAATCTCTGGAGATATTACAGATATATTACCATAAGACGTGACATTTGAATTCACACCCCTGGCAAACAGCCAATGTGAAATCAGGAAAGTAGCACTTTTTATTTAGCTGGGAGACGAGAATGAAAGTATGCACCACTATGAGATTTCCCTTGGTGAATGAGGCCGAGGCATATAAATGCAACAGAATTTCTTGTTTTGTCCACCCAGCAACACCAAAAGCATACAAAGGAAGGGTAGTATAAGTATTTGTAGCTTTGACTTTATTGTGAGTGTTCAGCTCTGACACTAGTCATCATCATCACCATCATCATCATCATCATCAACTACAACAACAACTACAACAACAACAACAACAACAACACAATGAGCTAAGTCCTGCTGGTTCACAGCTCAGACTGAATATGTGAAGACACTTATAACTATTCATCCCTTCAAGTGAGAGAGAACTGTTTTACATTGCTTTGAGCAATATTCCAGCAATGGACACCTGAACCGCTAAGCAACCACACTTTCACCTATTTACAAGGAGGCTAGAGTTCCTGCCTAACAATACAAACGTAATACCATGATGAAACATGCACTCAAACACAAAATGACTTCAGCTAGTATGAAGCCCTTTTCACAAGAAGGTAAGAAAACAAACATCTGCTAAAGATACTGTTTCTGTTTAATATGGAACATAAAGCTGGGATCTACATAATAGTGAAAGCGGCAGTCAACAGGATAGAAATGTCACCAGTATTACAATATGGAAGTTGTATATCCATAGAACTCCCCCCATTGTTCATCACCAACTTCTAAATGCCACTAAGAGAAGTATTACAATATGTTCCCCAAACACCAGCAGATATCTGTCACTATTGAACCCTAAAGTGACAGGAGTTCAATACGCTCTGCACAGCATGTGGCAACTTGACAGATCTATTGTGCTGAAGAGTGACAATCAAGGTAGTTATTAGGCACAATTTCATAGCGATTACACATATCCTATAATTGAGCTCTTATGTAGATGCTAAGATAGACGTAAGGTGAGACAAGATGGCATGTGATCTAAGACACAATTTAGGTGAGGTGAGCTCTTAATTGGGCTTAACAGTAGATGCTTTCAGCTCATATGACTATGTGCATGCGTGAGTACGTGTCTGTCGGGCTGCTTTGTAGCCCAGCCTTAAGCTGGTTTTATAGTGCTAGCCCACTGAGATCTAAGAGGCACAATTTAGGACCACTTACTTGAGACAAGAGTCTGTATGGAGAGACTATAGTGACAAATAGCAGTTGAAACATTGAGAGAATGCTGTGATGAAAACATAAGAACAATGCATGAATTTCCCTGACATTGACACAGAAAACCTGTGTTTGTCATGAGCCCAGTCAGCAAATCACGCCTCCAGCAAGCAGGTTGTCAACTCAGGAATTAAAGTGTTCACTTCACTTCCTACTTTCATCACGGGAGACACAGAGGAACAGGTAGCTGTTAAAGGGACAATGTCAAATTAAATCATCAATGAAGACCCATGGACTGAACCAGGGGTGGTAGACACTTAGACACAGAGGAACAGGTAGCTGACACTTAGACCCAGGACTGAACCTGAACCATGTGAAACACAGGTGGTAGACACTGAACCATTACAGGTGGTACCCACTTAGGGACTGAACCATGTGAAACACAGGTGGTAGACACTTAGACCATGGACTGAACCATGTGAAACACAGGTGGTAGACACTTAGACCATGGACTGAAC